TGCGATGTGATATACTGTAGCTTAGCTATTCTTTGGATGAACTGGGCAACGTCAAAAGGCGACAATGCGTGACGATTGCTCCTCTGTCTGATCTCCTCCACCATGATGTAGGTTGTTTGCTTTGGCGTCACGAGGAAGCGGGGTTTTCTTATGTATTTACGGAATGCTTGCAACCACCGAGGGTTGAATACGTTGAAAGGCTATTGCCGATGAGATAGTGCGCCTCTAACCCTATCATAGGAGTTAGTTGTCGTCCCTGTGTGGATGGACGATGACACCGTCACCGGTTTCCAGGTTACTGCGATCAATACAATCCTTATAATACCCCCCCCCCCTTCTGTTCCGGGTTTGACTGTGTCGACCATGTTGTATTCTGTGGGCAGAGGTGTCCTCTTTGGCTACTGTGGGTATTTTCATTCCTCCAGGGTTGATCATGCAGTTATAACGACCATTGTTAGGTGTGATTGTCGTTCTCAACATCGTAGTACTTGCTCTGTCGGCCAGAGTGAACCACTTTCAAGATTATTTCTGTTAGGTGTTCATATTCGGTTGTCCAACGACCGGTCCTAACTGATTTACAGACATCGCCGACGTCTTCCCTCTTGCTTTGTCAGCCGTCACTTTTGGTATTGTCGTCCTTGCGTGTGTACCCAGATTCCCTCCTGGCGCTCTTATTCAATCGTATTTGTTAGGTTCTTATTGGACGTTGGTCTGCACAATTCACCTACCGCTCGTCCTTCGTTCGAAATCGCAGTACTTTTAATCCTCAGTATCTTTTGGCTGGGTCGGCTCTTCTCATGATACCACTATCCGTGTGTCTCAACTCAGTCATCGTCCTTCTAGCCTGCAATGTCTTCTCGACATCCCGTTGGAGGCATATTCCGTTGAACTGCTCGACGATTCCTACTGGTGTGTTTAAACTTCTACCGACTTCGATTTACGTCAACTCGCGCACTCTAGATTATCCTGACGTGAGATCATGGTGCCAAGATTTGCAGGCTCTGAAAGCATTTGTTTGGATAAATTGGGTTGTTCGTGAGTAACGGTTGTGATTGCCTTATTTCTTTTTTAAGTCCAACATCACAATCCATAGTCCTTTATTGCGGCCTAGTGGCACTACAATTTTCCGTGAAGCAGCACCAGAAAGGGCAAAAACACATCTGGCATACCCCACTTTCTCGCTTCAAGCCTCGAGGAACTCACGAGCGTTCCTCGACCATAGGGAGCAAACTTGAAGACTTCCTGCGGTTTTCCCGTTGACATAGATTGACATAGATTGACATAGATTGACATAGATAAGCAGGCAGAAGCTTAGGCGCATAGTCCATCTCTCTTGATGAGAGGCGTCTGGTTATCAAATCGGCGTCTGTGATGCCGCATTTGCTCCCGTGTGCATGTTCACTGTATCGTCGCTTGGTCGTACTACCAGGCAATTTGTAATACCCACGTTCGTTCAAACACCGATTCGAACTTTCCGGGAGAGTTCTATATATCACGCGCGCCTCGGCCGTGCAGCAAGCCATCTATTACAATGATCTGATTTTTAAACACGACGTTCGCGGTTCGGGGGGCCACGGCTGTGTGCGTTTGACAGGATTCAGCGTCCACCCATCATACACATGGGCAACGTCCCGCCGCGTGTTATGCTATCCCGATTATTGTTCACTTGTTCGCCCACTTCCCTGGATTTACACAGCGCATTGGTTTTGTCCCCTAACACCAAGCCCCCGACTGTCACCTCTAGAAGGACGAGCCCTGATTTCCAGTGTTTTGGCACCTGCAGTTCAAGTGGCATTCAGTCGGGCATAAGTGCCAGTGTCTACACCACTGGCAACTGCATATCCAAAGAGTATGCAATACCAATAACCAGGCAAACGACGGATCTTATTGCCAAGGCGGAGCGCGTGCGTATTCCCAAGTGCTCTTATAGGTAAAGTTCATACGAAGTCTTGGAGTTGCAGGCAAATATTTTCCGGAATGAGGAGTTGACATATGAAATGCAAGGTACGGTGGTCGTGATCTGCTCCGCTCTCAGTGTCTAGCGTCTCGAGTCTTCAACACTTCGTTGTATCATCATCTCTGTTCTGTCATCGAGTGCTGGTTTTGATCAGTTTGCGAAGGCAGGTAGAGGGTGTTTCTGCCAGTGTAGGTAGTCTTCTGTTCTCATAATGAGTGGAGGTCACGAGTTTTCAGGCGCAGTGCCTGTGACCCGGATAATGAACTCGCACCCAGCTGCGCCGTGTGGGCTCTTGTAGGTAGTCAAATGGGTTGCATATATCATCTACGGACGTACTTGTCTATTAAATAGAGTCGACATTCCGTTGTCACGTCCCATACCGCACGCGTTGACACGCGACCCAAAATTCATTCCCGCCAGGTTCGCACCAGCCCACAGGTCCAAGGTCACACTCCGCACATGCAAGGAGTTTCAGAGGCTTGTCTAGGTGATTGTAGTATGAGAAATACACTTTGTGATTTGGAATGCGCACGAACCTAGGTGCACGGGGTTGGAGAAGCCGATGTTCTCGAACAACATGGGTGATGGAGTCACAAGCCACCATTGTGTCTTTTCTGGTGGAGGGGGTAGACCGGGGAGGTCTGGGTGGCTAGTGCCCGCAGGCTCCAACTACGCCAATGGTTTATTCTCGTGCCCCATGTGACCGAGTGTAAACTCTTACCTGCACGCTTTCGCGTTCATGGAAGAACGGCTACCCCACGCTTGAGGATGACGCTTCCACAGCGCTCATTTACGCATAGCAGATCAAATCGATTTAATCTTTGAGAGTCATAAAGAACTCCTTTTTCAAACGACGAAAATAGTTGGCTATTTCGCGGCGGTTGGGCACTCTGGTTTTGCAAGGCTGCGAGAAGCCTGGGTGTGATCTCTGCTTGTGAGGTGCCTTGGGAATCAATTGTATCAACGGGCACAACCCATTCAAACTCGAGCCAGGGAGTGCCGGCGAAGGTTATGTTACTAATACCACGCGACTTGAAGCCTACACGCTCGTAGAGGGATGCCTTGTCCTCGTGGGCAATGAGGAGGGCACGGTCGTAGGAACCCGCGGCTGCTAGACGCCGTTGGTATTCCGAGAGTAGGGCGTTGGCAATACCACGCCCGCGTACGTTGGGGCTCACGCAAACGCCATGGATCAGCACAGTGCGTGCACCAGGTTCGTGGGTAGACATCGACTCAGAAGTGAGTGTCGATTCAGATGAGAGCACGCCGTCTACATAACCAAGGAGGGTGCGCCCACTGTCGCTCTGGGGCACAAAGGCACCAAGAAAGAGCTCCTGGGCGTTTTTCTGGCGGAAACTAGAAGGGGGACGTGTAAATTACATTTTAGGAAGGACGTATCTCATTACCAGCGCACCTTAACTTCTCGATGGTAGCTGCCTCCTCAGGCGGAAAGCCTAGGAACCTACAAGTAAGTCAAAAGGTTGCGTGAGTTTAGAGGGAACCTTGCCTTGCACCTCCAGCGCGTGAACGGAGCGAACTTCCTCCTCTGAGACGAGGTCAAAGAAGAGACCCTCAGGCAATGCGACCGATGCCAGTGCCATGTTGATGAATGGGTCACTGGCAGAGTCGGAGATGGCATCTAATCTTAAATCTTATCAAGTCACCCAGTTAAGGCAATGGTATCTCACGGGTCCAGCGCCAGCCACAGTCACCGTTCAACTTGAAGTTGTCAGTACTCAACCGCAACCGTATCCTCCTGACAGCTCGAAGTGCCGCTCAACATTCATGCTGTCCTTTGTGCTTAGACGTACTATTTTGCGCTCTGGTACACTCCTATCTCCGCGGGGGCTGCTACCGTGTGCCATCGCCCCTAACCGACCCCTCACATGGCCCGTCAAGAGGGGCTTTGCAACTACCAGCGGTGACGTCGACTCTGGATCTACTGATTCTGAACTTGGGTCAAAGCCTAAATCTTCGGATAAGAAGGCTGGGTCGGGCACGAAAGTGGTGCGCAAGGCTAAAACTGAAGGAAAGACCAAACGTAGCGCAAAGAAGGCACCGGCGAAGCCGAAGAGTATGTGCCGTTCCCATGTCTTGGTCTGGCGTTATTGACTCCACTTTATAGTCACCATTAAACCCGGGGACCGTCCACCCAAACGCGCTGGCGGGCCTTTTACCCTGTGGTTCTCAGAATGGATTCGTACCCAACCTAAGTCCGACAGCCTGCTGGCTTCACAAAATCTTGTCAGACAGGCTGCACAGACATGGCACACTGTTTCTGAAGACGATAAAAAAGTCAGTATCCCAATTTCCCAGGCTCTCGTTTACTCAGACTAGTCGCATAGCGATACAAAGAGAAGTCCGAGAGTCTCATAATAGAGCACAACCGTCGCATGGAAGAGTGGCGCAAGGAAATTGACCCGGCCGTCTTGCGCGAGCTGAATCGTCGCCGCGCCGTGAAGGGTCGGCGCCGTATTCGTGGCCCTTCCCATCCCCGCCCGCTGTCCGGTTTCTTTCGGTATGCGTACAAGAACACTCGTTTAAAGGCTACAATATTAACAATGTCCCAGTTACCTTCAGGAGGTACGAGAGAACACTCCTCGGACACAAGCACCAGTTCGTTGCACGGCTATAGCTGAAAGCGCCGCGAGCCAGTGGAGGGCGATGAGTGAAGCCGAGAAGGCGGTGCGTATGACCTCCATGGCAAGGTGAATGACGAGAAACTCAGCATTGCGGCCGACAGAAATACAATGACCCAGCAAGTGCCGAGTTTACCGTTTGGCGTGAAAAGCGGAAGGAAGGTCGTGCTAAGCAGTAGTGGCTGTACCATCTCTGCAAGGGGCAAGGGAATGGAGAACGATCAACAATCTCCCCAACCCCCCCTTTACGAGACACATCTGCTGCCTGTTCGCGGAACACCCGATTCCAGTCTAAACTACCGTATTTCGTGCATCTCGTCTAGTCAGTTTTCTGCATACTTGTACTGTGTCTAGGAAACTCGAAATTCGTTTAATAAAGAAGATGAGCACCAGAAAAAGGGGAACTCCCTGGCGGGGAGTCGAACCCCGCTCTCGCGCGGGCAGATGAATGACAGGCGCGTGTACTAATCCGATATACTACCAGGGACATGTGTGCTTTACTCGGTTAGCCAGGGTTGATCCGGAAGCCCAGTGGTGACGCGTAGATACTCCATCACACGAACACGCTTGCTTAACGCGGAATGACCTCCAACGACCTATTCTCCTTCCTCGACGATAACCATGACTCTGGAAACAGTGACTCAGAATCCGATGTCATGCAAGTCGACAACAAGGAGCTTGCGTGCGCTCCCACTCCTTCCAACAAGCGTTCAGCCGAACCTCCCAAGCCTCGGGAACGCGTGAAATCTCCGGCTTCATCACCACCACCAGAAGATGGCCCACCTTCTAAAAGGAAGCGGCTGGAAGTTCCATCTGCTTCTGCCCCAGCGGTGGTGGTTGATGAGTTTGAGACCGAGGCGAAGCGGGAGGTTGCCGCGAGTGCAGGACTCACTGGGGCAACAGACGCTGCTGGCCTACGGTTGGAGTTGCGACACCAGGTCATACTGCAAGGACTGTTCCCGTATTAGCCAGCTGACTTGTTGTTTTAGGTTCGACACCAAGTTGCCATACCACCAGGCTATCCTTATGTTCCTATCGCCTCTCATGTCCCGCCAGCGAAGCCAGCACGCGAGTACAAGTTTACCCTAGATCCTTTTCAGCAAGTTTCCATCCACGCCATCCAACGAAACGAGAGCGTTCTCGTGTCTGCGCACACCAGTGCAGGAAAAACCGTCGTCGCCGAGTACGCGATTGCACAGGCACTGCAGAACAAGCAGCGCGTCATTTATACGAGTCCCATCAAGGTAGGCCTCTAGGAAAACAAGCCGTGTCTCTTTCTTAGTGCTCTTGGTTAGGCTCTCAGTAACCAAAAATACCGCGAGATGGAAGCCGAATTTAGTGATGTCGGGCTAATGACAGGAGACGTTACCCGCAACCCATCGGCGTCTTGTCTAGTGATGACCACTGAAGTGCGTTCGGGCAGTTGTCGTACTCTCAACCCTAAGTTGACTATTTGCAGATTCTTCGGTCTATGCTCTATCGTGGCTCTGAGATCATGCGCGAAGTTGCTTGGGTCATTTTCGACGAGATTCATTATATGCGCGACAAAGAACGCGGTGTGGTTTGGGAGGAAGCTATCATCTTGCTTCCGCATACCGTGCGCTATGTGTTTCTCTCTGCAACCATACCCAACGCGATGCAATTCTGCGAATGGATCTGTCGCTCCCATGAACAACCTTGTCACGTTGTCTATACCGACTTTCGACCAACTCCGCTGCAGCATTATCTCTTCCCTGCAGGTGGTGAAGGTATATATCTGGTGCTGAACGAGAAGGGCGAATTTCGTGAGGACAACTTCTCCAAGGCTATGGGCATGTTACAAGAGCGTGCTGGTGAGGACCCTGCTGATCCGAAGGGTGGCAAGGGCCGCAAGGGGAAGACAAGGAAAGGTGGAGACAAGAAAGGTGAGATAAGTTCGCCACAGCACCGATATAAGGCTGACTTGTTGAGTTGAAGGCCCGTCTGATATCTCCAAAATTATCCGGATGATCATGCTTAAGAACTACAACCCGGTGATCGTCTTTGCGTTCAGCAAGCGTGAATGCGAGGCGCTTGCGCTTACACTATCGAAGTATGAGTTCAACAGTGCAGACGAACAAGCCACAGTTGAGAAGATATTCGCGAACGCCATAGCAGGACTCGCCCCGTCCGACCGCACGCTGCCTCAGATCGAAAACATTCTCCCACTACTTCGCCGGGGTATCGGCATCCATCATGGGGGTCTGCTTCCGATTCTGAAAGAGGTGATCGAGATCTTGTTTCAGGAGGGTTTGATCAAGGTCCTCTTCGCAACTGAGACGTTCTCTATTGGACTCAACATGCCGGCCAAGACCGTTGTTTTTACCGCTGCCCGCAAGTTTGATGGGCACGAATTCCGCGACTTATCTTCGGGCGAATACATCCAAATGTCGGGTCGCGCCGGGCGCCGTGGACTCGACGATCGAGGCGTGGTAATCATGATGTGCGATGAGAAACTCGAGCCCGTTGCCGCAAAGGCGATGATCAAGGGTGAAGCAGATCGTTTGGATTCGGCCTTCCACCTGGGATACAACATGATTCTCAACCTGATGAAGATTGAAGTTATCAGCCCGGAGTACATGCTCGAACGATGTTTCTTGCAGTTTCAGAGCAGCGCTGGAGTGCCTGCTCTTGAGGAAGGTGCGAACACTTCACTTGACCATATGGCCTTTGCTTATTATTTCTTTAGAGCTCAAGCTCGAGGAAGAGGCAAGAGGGTCTATGGTGGTCCCTGACGAGGAGCTGGTTGCTCAGTATTACGAGTATCGGCAACAACTTGATCAAATGTCTACCGATTTTCGTGAAGTCGTTCACCACCCAAGCTACAGTCTACCATTCTTGCAACCCGGCCGCCTCGTTAAGGTCGAACATAAGGGCCTCGATTTTGGCTGGGGCGTTGTTACCAATTATCAAAAGCGGCTCCCCCCAAAAGTAGGTTTCCACCTGTAGTGCCCCTCACACTTCCGATTCTATTAGCTGACGAACTTGCAGAACCAACCTGTACCTAAGGATGATATCCCGCCTCGTGAGCAATACATAGTGGACGTCCTTTTAAACTGTGCCCAAGATTCCGCTGTACCAAAAGAACGCTCTACGGTTACCGCTACTCCAGGCGGCGTTCTGCCCTGCCCATCAGGACAGAAAGGCGAGCCTCTGGTTTTACCAGTGTTGCTATCAACTCTCAATGGGGTCAGCCACCTGCGTATATTCCTGCCGAAGGACCTGCGCCCACATGGTTCGCGTGAGACCGTCTGGAAGAGTATTCTCGAGGTCCAACGCCGGTCACCGGATGGTATACCACTGCTCGATCCTATTGAGAACATGGCAATCAAAGACGAAAAGTTCAAGGTGCTCGTCAAGGTAAAGTTATCTGTATGGGACGTCTATCCTTAATAACCCCCTGGCAACTTAGAAAATACAAACTATGGAACAGAAGATGTTCGCGAGTCCACTGCACAAGGACCCGCGCCTACCAGAGCTTTACGACCTGTACGCACGAAAGCGCGCGGCGCAGGATCGAGTACGCTTGTTGAAGAAGCGCATTCAAGCGACACATGACGTCCTGCAAATGGAAGAGCTCAAGTCTCGTAAACGCGTACTCCGACGACTGGGCTTCACATCTGCGGACGACATAGTGGATGTGAAAGGCCGAGTGGCATGCGAGATAAGCACCGGTGACGAGCTGTTACTCACCGAGCTCATTTTCAATGGCGTGTTCAACCCACTGGCTCCAGAGTACTGTGCCGGGTTGCTCAGCTGCTTCGTCTTTACGGAAAAGGTTCGTGTGCCCCAATAATGGAACCATGGCTAATGCGTTAATCCTTGACATAGAGTGAACATCAAACCAAATTGAAGGAGGAGCTTGCTGCGCCTTTGCGTGTCATGCAGGAGAACGCGCGCCGCATTGCCAAAGTTTGCAGGGAGTCCAAGTTACCTATCGTGGAGGAGGAATACGTTCAGTCGTTCAAAGTCGAGCTCATGGATGCAGTCGTGCAATGGTGCCGGGGAGCATCATTTTCAGACATCTGCAAGGTTAGTGACTTTCGCTGAACTTATATCACCTTGCTCACGTTGGCGCATCACATGTAGCTCACAGACCAGTTCGAGGGCAGCCTCATTCGCGTCTTCCGGCGGCTGCAAGAGCTCATTCGACAGATGGCCCAGGCTGCAAAAGTCATTGGCAACGTCGAGCTCAAACAAAAGTTCGAAAAAGCATCTGAGATGCTTGAGCGACCGAATTCCGTCATCTTTGCCTCGTCGTTGTATCTCTGAGCTTGATTTCCATTGTAACAACATTCTTTTCATTTCCCTCGGTCTGAACGCAAAGTACACGACAAGATAATTGGCAAGGACAAGCAAAGATAGAAACGAAAAACCATTCACCCGGGGAGAAACAGTACGGTAACAAGAATAAATCGAACCACTTAGGCCATCAGCACGCCCCATTATCCGTCCAAACTCCGGCTGCACGTCAAATATTTAGCTAGACGCATCGTAAATCTCATAAGACTCACCAGCGCCGCCCGGAGTGTCTGCTTGTGTCCACCACTTCGCGGTCCACAAATGGGCGCCTACGGTGCATCTCAGTATGCAAACATCGATACGTGACACAGGTAATACGCTTACTATATGTGGCCTGCTGACCGCCATTGTAGGCGATCTGGCGGAAAATGTCAGCCATCCTGTGACAAGGGAACAGTTGGTGGCGTACTTGGGAGCTCCACGCTGCCACACCCGCACATGCCCCCGAGCCCGTGGTAGATGTAGGTACTGGCGCCGAGGACGTAGACGATGTAGGGGCCGGCGCACTCGTCGTCCCCGAAGGGGTTCCTTGACCCATGTTGCTGCGGATATTGTCCCATTTGCTAGTAGGATAGCTACCTCGGCGTAAATCGGGTGCAGTCAAAGAAATATGAGGTGCGCGCTCAACTGTATGTGATTCTGGAATCGAAAGTAAGTCGGGCAGGTAGACTTGTGAGGATGACGGGCGTACTGAGGTCTGGTCAAGGCTAGCATAGACGCCAGCGGTGGTACCAACAAGCGAGCCTGAGCCCACTTTGTCCGTGGACAACTATCTCCAGATGTTAAATTGTCACTATGTTTGAAGGAGGTCAAGACACGTACCTCCCAGAACATAGAACCCGCGAGGCCTTTCGTCTGAACGTACTGCGCCTTTAGGGTAGCGATATGAGGCGTATCGTACGAGACGAGCTCTCTGCTCGTCGGATTGTAAGAATAACTGGTCACATCTGTTGTGTTCTCGAACACCTGTGCACCAGAGAGCGGCAGAGCGGAATATGAGTAGACACCCGCTTCGATCGTCCCTGGTCCGATCTGTGCGTCACGGATATGGGTCAGTTAGCCTGGTGTTCGGAGACCTCGCAACGCCCGTACCCCGCTGTATGGCATACCCAGACCATCAGTGTTATCGAATGCACGCCCGTAGAGTGGAATGCCTTTGTCAACATG